TCAGTGGTCAGTGCTGAGGCAGGAGTAGGGGCAGCCAAGATGTTTCCAGGCATGCTGCTATGGAGCATGGATAACAGTCACTCTCTCCCCTCACACCTACACACACCTCTTCATGTGGGTGTCAGATGTCCTCTGATGTTTGTTTCACAGCAGTAAGTGCTTTGCCTAATGGCAGCAGGATCTGCCTTTTGTTCCAGTGATGCAGAAATGATCTGTAAGGTTTATTTCTTGGCTTGGCAAATCTGTTTGAGGGCTGGTGACAGCTGCCATGCTTTTCTTCAGGAAACCTGAATCTTTGCCACCAGGGTTAAGAGGCTCTGCTTTGATTTACTTTCTCTGGATTTGCGGTTCTGATGGGCTGTGGCCTCTGGTGTGACAGAAACAGGAGCCAGCTCCAGAGGGAGCTGCTGCTGCAGGGGAGAGAGGTCCAGGCTGAGGTCCTGGGGGAGGCTGTCCCACAGCTGGTGACACACCTCTGCCTACTCCACACAACCTGGAAAATCAGGTTGTGGATCTTATTTGTCACTGTCTCTTAGTTCCTTCAGCAACCTTTTGGCAAGGTTGAGGATTACATCTGGCCGTTGTCCTCAGGGATTTGCCATGTGTGGTACCCTCTGCAGGGAGAGCAAGTGTCTTGTGTGGGGAAAGCCTGGTCAGGCTCCCAGGGGGCAGTCGAGTTTTGAAGTGACAGGTCGTAAAACTAGATACTCTGTGACTGATGCAGATAATCTAATAAAAGCATTAGCAAGACTCCACTCTGGAGACACAGCTGCTTGGGTTGGGGCATGCCTGGCTGACTAACACTGGAGCGTGAATGCAGGTGTTCCCGCACTGCTGGGAGCAGAGGGAAACTGCAGTTTGTCACCTTATTACAGCTCTGCTGTCAGACCTAGGAGGGGAAAAACCAAACTGGCAGCATTAGGAGTCACAGTCTGATGGGAAACACTGCAGGCTGGAACCTGGCAGCACTGAGTACCTAAACCTGCTCGCTAAAGATGTGTCTGTTCTTGAGATCTCTCCTTATCTAAGTGCTTTCCAGAAACTGGGTCTGGTGCCCTAAAACGTAGAGTAACATTGAGAAACCAGGTCACTGAATGCACAGGGAAAGGTGGAGCAAAACAATTATCTTAACTATTCTGTTCTCTGCTTATCCTCCTGCAACAAAAATCTGTGTTTGCCCATGGAATTTCCAGCCTAGTCAGGAACTGTAGCCTAGAGATAGATTTGCTAGACATCCTGCCCTGAAATTACACACATCATACAACAGAAAGAAGTGGAAATTTTACTCTGCCAGTATTTAAGACGTGGAGTGCTTTAGTCTGTGGTTTGAATCACTGTTCCACTGAAATAACTACATGAAGATAACACTGGGTTATCTAGAATTAGTCTATCCCAAAATGGGACTGCCCTCCTAATCACGGCTTGGCACCAAGCATGCAAGGGCAAATACTAAGGTATGTGTTTTTCCTGCCAGTCTCACTTTAGTCTTAATGGAAGACTCAAAAGGCTTTTAGCTAACCAAGTTAAATCCAACATCAAAAGATCATTGTCAAGAGAACATCTCCAGTATCTTTTCCAATTCTCCTCCTTATCTCACCACAGAGGTGGGAGTGAGAAGGCAGCTGTGTGGTAGCCAGCTGGGGTTAAACCATGACCGCTTGACAACACAGAGAGCAGACAAAATGAACTATGACTCAAAAGTGCTTGCTCAATATGAGGGTAAATCATGGTCAACTCTTGATCACGATTGCTTTAGTACTGGGAAGTGCTGAGAGATCTCTTCCATTTCTCAGTGTTTAGACACTTTAACTTGCACACCGTTGGACACAAATGCTGCCCTAAGTCACGCTGTCAGTGTACAAGGTGCAACTGAAACATGTAGCTAGATACCTTGTTTCTTGGACAGCAACAAAGTTGATGTATTCCTGATGATGAACGAGGCCTACTTCAAAACATAACAGATAATCAGGTACTGTGAGACAGTCTGTGTTCACCTTGTGCCATGGTTCCAATTTAAATCAGTAAGCGGAAGAAGACTGATCACTTCTGTAGTATATCTCCTGTCTGAGCTCACTAGGTGACTAATTTCATAATGCATTTCCTTCTGCCCATCCTTCCTGATAAGTGATAAGGAAAAAAAAATTACTGAAAATGTTTTCCAGCTACTTTCTGCTTAGACTTTTTATGACAGTGCATTTGGGAGGGAACCAGGTGTTCTGAACCACGGTGTTCAATATCACACTAGTGGGCTGCCTGTTCTGTGTCTCCTTGGCTATCTTCTCCCTTGGGCTCTTCCTCCTAGATGTGACAGCAAATTTCTTTCAAAGTAATTGGGTTGGGCCTTAACAGTTAACAACTTAAGGAAAACTACACAAATTTCCAAGTGTTCTTTAGCTGTTTTTGATATCAAAACTCTGCATTTAAGCATCTGATAGACCCTTCTCAGCCACACTTGACCAATTTCAAAGTTCATTCACTTTAAGGAGTCAAAGCATGCCTAGCAAAGAAATTTTATGCTGCCTTACATACTGCAAGAACCAACAAACGATGGTGTTCCTTGCAATGCACTCTTGAAAACTATCTCATTAGATTTGAGCCTGTTTGCCTCTATAAGTAGATTGCACAGAGGTTCTACTGCCGTTCTTACACTCCAACCTCCATGCTAATGAAACAGAATGACAATAAAGCATTTCTTGACTTTTTCTTTCTTTTTTTTATGGGGTGGAGTGTCTAATCTCCCTGGCTGAACGCCAGAAGATATACTTTGCTTCTGAAAGCTCAGTGACACTCTCAGTAGGTGCTCAGGTTTCTGAACACAATTTTCCGTGTGTGCTCTTCATTAAGTTGGCAAGCTGTTCTTGTTCTATCTATGTGCTGAAACAATAAAACAAAATCTGAGTTGAATACTTACTTTCTTTCCATGATTTTAATGTCTGCTTGAAGGTTTCCTTTAGCTCTGAAACAGATTTTTGCCTGATGCAATCATGTTATTCAGGTTCGTGTTGCGGGAATCTGTGACTAAGCAGGTACCCAGGAAACCCTTCTAAGTAGCTTGTACGCTATGCTTCAAGTTCCTCTGCATATTGTATCTATGTGTAAAATGGAATGTACAACATGCATTTTCTTAAAAGCACAGACAGTCTCTCCTGCAAAAAGACTGCTTTTTTTCCTTCTAAAAAGATAGGAGTAGTAGATGGACAGTTCGTGTTCCAACTCAGTCATGCATGCTTGCTGCTTTTCTTTTTCCTTTCATTAACTCTCTCAAGATCTGGCACAACAAGAGCATTATATAAGACTAAATAATTCTTACATAAATCTGAGTGAATGCCTTTCATGAAGTACTGGGTGCTTATCATGGCTATAAGTAAAAATGAATCACTTCCTTTTCAAATGGGAGCTTTCAACCTTGTATTCTGTGTGGTTAATTGCCACAAGCCAAAATAACCTTTTGAGCTCTATGGATTTTCACAGCTGCAGACTGGCGAAAAAAGCCCTCACACTGATAAATAGAAACTTAAGAATTTCCAAAAGAAATTACTCCCCACTCTAATTGCCTCTTTTAGCAGCACAAAGCCCAGCTCATTTGTGCCAGAACATTAAATGTTCCTAGCACATGTCTGCAGAGCCAAGAACCTGAGTATCATCTAAAGGACAGAATGAGAAAGAATAAAGCAAGGACAGTATGAATTCAGCACTTCAAGAACAGCATGGAGCACAGCCAACAGGTCAAGAAGTGTAGGTAATTAAGCTCTTGCTAGAAGCTACAGATTGAGAAGGTTCAGGGCTCAGCAGCTCAGTAACAGAATCAGGGAAGACTCTCAACGTGTCCTATATACAGGGAAATACAGGAATGTACCTTGTGCTTGCTTTTAAGCTAAGTATCTGTATTACAACACCAGAATAGTATGTGGAATAGAAATCAGCAGATCAGGAATCTACGAGGAAAAGTGGGAGAAGCAGCTCATTTCCAGCCTCCTTAACAGAAATACATGAGAACCAGTACAAGAAAAGGTCAGATGTGGCAGAAACACTACTGGGACAGCAGCTCTAAAACCCAGTTCTGCTGGACGAGAAATTCTCTGACCTGTCATCCTCCTCCACTGTGGGATGGTTATGTCCTGGTACAAGAGTGAGTTTCTTCCTTCTGTGAAAGACAAGCAAGAGCAGCAGTGATGGGCCTGATGTGGGAAGACAAAGTCTGTGTAGGAATTACTGGGCCGGCAGCAGGAAGACATGGAAAGAAAAGGGAGGTTAAAGGTCAGAAACCTGTCATGTTGAGGAGGAAGGAAATATGGAGAAGCAGAGCGAAATATTTGGTAAATATCTCTCCGTAGAATGGTGAAGAGGACCTAAAGCTGGAGAGAAGGAAGCTGCTAAAACAGCTTGAGAAGTCATCCATACAGAAACTGAAATCCCTTGCTGGCAAGCACAGGAATGGAAAGCATGGGATATAGTCAGTATATTAAAAGACCAGTGGATGGCAGCATATTTTTACTACCAAAATACTGGGTCGTCATGCCACATGCTTTGGTTGTAGCTCATCTGCTGACTAATACATCATATGCCCCAAGAACAAATCCACATTTGACTCTGGTAAGTGAGCACAAGTTGCAAGGATTTGTGCCTTTTGTGTATAGATCGTGTTTCTCCAAGGCAGTGGTGACTGCTGTTGTAGCTGTCCAACACTGAGTCGTCTGGGAGATCCAGAGCATATTTCACAAGGATGGGAATGAAAGGCATAGAATAAGAGGCTACGCCTAAAGAACCACGTTAGTGTATTACTTCTGATAGTTTAGTGTGGTCTCAGTCCCAGGCTGATTGTTCTGCTATGAAGCTGATGATTTCTTTTCAAAAGTTGGGAATAAGTCTGTAAATTATAGAGAAATTTCTTGAGAAAATTATATATGAAGAGAAAAATGGAGTATCACTTCAGGTCACAGCATAATACCCATGTTAAAGGGAAGACTTACTTGCTAATTAGACTCCAGAAAAAAACCACATTATTCTTGATTACCATATTTATTCACTTTAAGTGGAAAAAACCTGACAAGTCTTAATGGATTTGACTCATTACCTATCTATATTCCCTGTTCACATCAATTTCAACTGAGAAAGAAAAATACACATTTTAAAAGAAGTTTCTAAATTCATTTGATAAACAGGTTTCCAATAAACTTCTGAAAATTAGAAGGAAAAGCTTTTCAAGACTTATAGCTCATGTTTTCTGAAGCAAAACACTTAATGTAAAGCACACCTGACATCTGACTTCCATACACCTCAGGGGTTTTCTATGTAGTCTTCACTAAAGTGTACTTAGTAAATGTTTCACATATCAGAGCATGAGTTCCTCCATTGCCTTCAGAACCTGTGAACTAGATACTCCTGTAAACAATACTTCTAGAAAAGGACAGTTTGAATACAAAACAAAGAAAAGGGCATTAGTAGCCAAGTTTCTTTGGGAGAGAGAAGATTGCATTTGGTTCTGACTTTCTTAGAAAGAGCAGCAGACAAAGAGCACGGCAATCATTCCAATTATTTCAAGCTCTTCAGTTTTAAGAGCATTTGTAAAAACAGGCCCAATTATAACAAACTGATATTTGCATAATGAACTTTGAAACAAGGCATTTTCTTAGTGATAAATGCATTAAGAGCTGAAATAACAATGTTAAGACAAGCTATTGTTTGTCAACTTGTCAGATATGTGTGCTGAAGCTTCCCTTCTAATTACGAGATGTTTAGTACAGCACAACAGATATTTTAAAACTAATATAGAAGATGGAATGTTTTTTCAATTGTAGTGCACTTCATTTGAGAAGATTACCATGACAAAATAGGAAAAGGAAAGAGGATGGAAAGCAGTGGCTTATAGACGTTCTAATTTTTCACTTAGAAATTCTTCCACACTATCTGTATTCCACTTGAGGATGCTCAGCTCTTCTGCAATGTTCCCACTGTCGTCCAGCAGCTTTAGGACAGGGTCAGAACCACGCACATACTGTGGGGAAGAAAGGAAAAGTCAGTTACCTTGGGCTGGAAATGCATTCTCCGTATGAACACTTCCCCTGCTCTCAGGTGATTTAAATCAATTCAGACTTCTGACTTGCATTTAGTGTCAAAGAGAGAAAAGTGGGAGAATAAGTGAAATGAAGAGGGGTGGGGATGAGGGTGTGTGTGAGAAACATCCACTTGTTCTCCAGTTAATGCATGTGCAGAGGGGCAGTGGATTTGAAAGATGGCATTTACCTCAACTGTTTTACGTTACCAAAGTTGGATTGTTGAATCAAGCGGATGAATGATTTTTCTCATATGATCAATAGCCTTTTTAGCATTGTAGAAATTTCAGGTCACTTTAATAGGTCAAAATTTTACTATCAATTTCTATTTTAATCACATTCTTTCCTGCTGTGATGTATCTCTGCCTACTACACTTTGCTAGTAACATAATTCCTTAATGCTTCTGCAAACTCACCAAATCACAAAATATATAATGCAAATAAAAGCTTTTAGCAGTATTAAAAGGCTCTGACCATTTAAGTTTATGGAAAGATTTCCCCAGGAATATTTCACTTTGCTCTACTGAGCTAAGCTGGTTGGTTTTACTTAATGAAGCTAGTGGCACCTCTAATCAGTTTTCTAAAAGTCTTGCAATAAATACAGATATATTTGCACTACATTTTTTTCTGGTAGTGCTCTATACCAATTGTAGTCTAGACTTCTTGGATGTTCAATACAGCTACAACATTTTTTTTTAAAAAAAGAAGGAGTCAGACATGCAGAAGGAGAGAAAGCTTTGGAAAGAAACTGGAGGACACAGAGACATGAATGCGTGAGACAGAGGAAATCTGTTTTCGATGGAATCTGCTGCTAAGAAGACAAATCACTTATTGCAGGCATGCATAGCTATGAAGTGATTCCAGATGGTGCCATTTGGGGAATGGAGACAGGAGCATAAGATGTGAGAATCAAGATGTGTATCTGTGAAGTACACTTGAAGTTCACATAGGATTTTAAGAGGAAGGTGAAGTCTTACACTAGATCATGAAACAAATGAATTGTTGGAGCTCAAGACAGTGCAGCTTATGCAGCTTTGCATATATGCAAGTCATAAGAAACACTATTCAGTATGTACATTTCTATAAAGCTGGATGTTTGCAGTCTATAAAGAAAAAAGCAGCACAATAGAAAACAGCAAGGAAATACTGAGAAGGGAGGAGAAAAATCTAAGAATCACCAAATGTATAGAAATGGCAGCTCCATAAGAAAACGAGAGGAGAACAGAAGAAAAGGAAACTATGGCAGAATAAGCTTGAGTAAATCCAAGATGTCCACAGGGTAAGGACAGAATGTAAGCATTACTGAAATTCTTTTCCCATCTGCTATTAATTATGGGTTCCAGTATAATTTTTTTCTTGGATTAAAACCAAACAACAATAAAATAAACCAGCCTCCCAACAACAAAGAATTGGTACTGAACAGTTACTGAGCAATAAACAAATTAATATCACTAGCAGGAACTTATAAAGCTTCATATTGCAATGCAAATATATATCCTCTGCTAAAGGATTACTTGATCAGCAAAGAGGGAACAATCCACAGGAGGACAGTCTCCACCAAACTTAATTCTTCCTAACATCCCAAATAGAAAAGTTAGGTTACTACTCACCTTGATCTGCAGTCCCCTGAAGAGTTTTGGCTTATCACTCCTGACAAAAGCTATGGTTTGGAGAAAAGAAAGAAAAAGATAATCAAACTCTTCTCCAGTTGCATAAAGTAGATTTACATCAATTAGTATTCCCCAAATTATTTCTTTTAGAATGATGCTTTAGAAGATATTTTCAATGTTAAAAATCTTAACATCCTCACAAAATTAACAATACTAAACTTATGCCAAAGGAATACCTACTTTTGCTACTATTCCAAGCAAGACTCCTATCTGCTTGGGTTTTCCTTGAACGCTAGTGGAACTGTGTAAGTCAGTTTATCTGCATGTAAAACTGACAGCCTTCAGCAGCCTGGGCCATATGCTGCTGTGATACGCAAATGTGAGGACAAGCGTTAGAGAGATCAAAATCTGGCTGAAGATAAGCTCTGTGAGGGAGGCTAAATATGAGACCCATCTCATCAGCACACTGCACACATGCTGCAGCAGTGCGGGGGAAAGGGCACGGAGGAAACTGTGGGTAGAGGTGTTATTCTTACAAACAAGACAGACAATCTTGTCTTGCAGAGATCTCTGAGATTAGGTGTTGAAAACCAGCAAGAAAACAAGACCAGAAAACAAGCAGAGAAGCCGCTATTGCCTCGTCTCTTGACACTCCTAAAGGCTTTAAGACAGACCCTATGGCCTGTCAGCTCCATGGAGAGACGTTCAGGTCTGAGGTGAGCTGCTGTCACTGCACAATTCCTCACCTGAAGTTCTAGTCAGCAAACAGGAGAGATTCACAGCAGCACAGTCCCTGTATCCCTACAGCACTATCCAGGCCTCGTGTTAACCTTAACTTTGGGAAGACATTATGAATTTTTTTCAGGATTAGGTGTGAGCATAACCCCGTTTCCAAACACTTTACCCTAATGAACGTCTGAGTTCTAGGGGTATGTAAAATTTATTTAGAAAATAACAGAATCCTCATTCCTCCTTTTTGCAGTCAGGTTGTGCTAGAGGCTGAGTTCAGTATCTGTATTGACATTAAGTGGATTCAGGACACTCCTGTAGTACGTCAGTAGCATCTCCCCACGGATGAACCCTGTCAGTACGGATTGAATCCTACAAAGGTGCTAGCTGCATGTTAAAGCTGCTTTTTCAAGGTTAGGCAACAATGAATCTCTCACAAATTGCAGTGCATCCAGCTGGTGCATGGAGATGAGTGTAACCTCAGGACTAATGTTTCATACTGCCTCACAAAGTGTAGTGCTTTCCTCAGTAATTGCAGAGATGTCCCCCGGCATCTTTATACCTATCTTTATATTACTGCAGGCAGTTACCTTAGCACTTTCTCAGCATGGTTATACAGAGTGGCATTTATTTTCTTCCCTCTTCCACTGTGCTCCCAGTATAGACCAAAATCATATACTCTGCCTGCTGCACAAACCACTACACAGTATGAACAAGTTAAAAAATACCAGTGGCCCAAGGAGCTGCCAGACATATCAGGCCCCTGAAGAAAAGACTTGTGTTTGTTCCTCCTACAGGACCATACACTTACGTCATGCGTAAGCTGTGCTTGTATAACAATTTCAAATAGCACTAAATAACTAGTGCTTGCTCACATACTGCAGTTCAATTCTGATTTAAACTCAAAGATGTAATTTCAACTTCAGCATTTCCTATGTACTTGTGACCTGTTGTCTAGGCTGTCACCAACAGCAACATGCATAAAAGTGGCAAAGATGTTTCTTATTCTTTGTTAAGTCCACAGAATTCATGAAGAATTTTTCCACATTTTTCTTCAATTTAAATCTAAAGCTGACATCAGTCTCTGGGGCTTTATATGAGAAGGAGGATGTAAGAAGCAGTCAGTACAGTGGGTAACTTTAATTGCAAAACTTAAAGAGAGCACAGTAAAATGGATAAAGTTTCCAAAGCAAATCTAAACTCTGGAACTGAACTGTATTAAAGAATTGCCTTTGGGAGTTACCTCAGGTTACAGCACTTAAAACTTGTAACAGGTGTGAGGATTTGTTACTTGAGTGACAGATGAAAGCTCATTTGGACAGGAGTAGCTGTCCTCTGGCTGCAGTGTTGGACTGCACAAGCTCCCATAAAATGGAAACAGAATTAGGTGGAAGAAGAAAGTATTCTATAGGCAGTGTTACATTTTGTCATGTTAAAAGTAGCTATTACACACTTGTATCAATGTCAAATGTCTAAATCTTCTGAAAGCTCAAGCACTATAGAACATTTTTCCTGAAATTTTAGACAGCTGGAACAAAATCAGTTTCTGTTATGGCATATTTATTCCTAATGCTGATCATAGTGACTTTCTGCATCAGTCACTCGAATTTGCAATGCAACAAAGAAAAACACTCACTGTACAAATGACTTAATTTGTATATTCTGAATTTTGAAAGCTAAAATGAGAAACTAAAATACTGACATGCATTAAAATACAGATTATCCCATCAAACACTTTTTTTCGTTTCTTTCCACAAAATCAGTCTTTGAGTTGAATTAACAGTCTTTGAAATGGAACTGATAGGGTTAGGAAGTCAGATGCAGCTACCGTGCACATTTTGGGACACCCAACTGCTTATCATGTGATGTGGAGTAAATGCTCCACTTTCAGCACTGCCCCAACAGTTCCCTCTGTACTCTGACACCAACATTGTTGCTTCCTATGATCCTATGTCTAAAGGCTACTTGCGCATCATCTTTACACCACTATTTGGTAGCTTGATGTTCAATGCTAGAATCCTAGCTTTTTCTCTCTCTAGCAGCTTTAGAAATTACACACTAGAGAAACAAGCATCTCTCTAGTCCATCCATGAGCAAGCAGGGAAGGCATTTTCCACTCTGACTTCTGCAAGATGAACTCTGAGTTTGGTGCCATGACACTATGTTCTGGTGAATTAAACACCAGACTAGGAGTCAGAGCTGCTCTACTGGCAGCTTTGCAAAATCACTTCACCTTATGCTCTTATAAAACATGTACAACACTGAAGCACACACCTTCTGTTTGCAGGCACTCCTGAGGTGTGCCTGCAGAGCAGACTGGATTGCCAGGCAATCAGCTACAACTGAAAGGTCAGAGAAGGATCAGGTGTGTATGAGCATTTTAAAGTCTGCCCTGCACCACTGTTTTGCAGGGAGAGGTAATCCTGAACAGTCCTTTTACAGACCTAAAGGCAGCCTCTGCCTATGAACACAGCAGAATACTCCCTGCTATTGTTATAATGTCCCTTTGTTTTGATGTATAACACTACTCTGTTTTAAGGAAGTCTGTGAAAACTAGTTTGTTGGAATTCAGGAATATACATGTTATTTAAATTTCTGCTTCAGGAGCAAAGATAACCTGCTTGGTCTGCAAATGAAAAAGTACACAATCATGTTGAAAAAAAAATTAAACTAATCTCTTAATACTTGAGTGAGAGCCAATGTACAATGGCAATAAAAATCTCACTAGTTTTCAAACAACTATGCACACAGACAAGCATTTTAACCTTGTCTGTCTGTACACACATCAGAAGGATAATAATGGCCACAAATTAGAATGACCTGGAGGAGGTTAAAAAAAACCCCTAACCCTTTCTGTCTCTATTATATCAGTTTCAGATTTTAGTAGCGCAAAAGCACAAGTCAGAACTAGTCAGATCTCCAGCACAAGGTCAATGAATAAATATTTACTGCACAATTTTTCCTTCTATTAACTGCAGCCTGTCTTCTAGTAAGAATTTAATGTCATTGAGTATCTACTAGTAATGGAAAAACCCACTTATTCAAACTTCTCACCCTTTTGTTATTTACAAAGTTGTGCTTTTAGTTTAGATTTACTCTATTGCTTACTGTTGTGACACTTATGAGGACTATATATGGCCATGGGGATTTATCCAGCTTTGTAAACTGGACATAAACTTCTCAGTTTATGCTAACTTCGTAGCAAACAGAAACTTTTAGCTTCTTCTAAAGTCTTGAGGCTGTGCATAGATACACAGCTTCATATTACTGATAAGTCTTATTAAAAGTCCTGATTGTGCACTGGAAAGCAGCAGGATCCTTTCTTTGATGATGGTGTCTATCCCTCCTGTCCCTCAGTATTACACCAAATAAGTCCATTATGTGATCAGAGCAAAGCATTGTTAGTGCTCATCAGAAAGGAATGTTTCCAACATCATTCATGAATAAGGAAGAATGCTTCAAAATTAGTCTAAAGGATGAACTATTTTTAGAGAAACATTTAAACTTTTTTGTGATTCATTTAAATGTTCCACAGATTGAATTGGCAATAGGAAGCACACAAGTTCTATCTTTCAAAAGACATTTTATCCAACAGCAGCACAGTACTTTGTGCAACTCAGTGCAGCATGTACAACTGATTTTTAAAACTCGAAAATAAGAAATATTAAACTTATATAGAATGTGTTATAGGTAGTAACTGAATTGATCTAATACTAATACACAGGAGGATGATGAAAGTATGTCTAAAATTATCTGTAAGTAGTTGTTCTGAGTTAATTTCAATCAAGAGAAAGCAAGTGTAACATTACTGCAGATAAACCAATGAAACAAAGAGCAGTCTGCTTACTTGGCCCCGAATTATTAGATAGGAGCAGTTTGAAAGTAAAAAATTTTGCTAGAGGCACAAGTTTGCACATGTCACAGAACTGTACATAAACAAGATGCAAAGGACTTGACCATACCACAGACTTCACCATTTTGTACCTGAAATGAACTTGAATTAGAAAATGGTTTCACTGAGGCATTGCCAACTATCAAGTGTTAAACCTATGAAAAAGAAAAGTAACCAAACCAAAAGGAAGAACAAGAGAAGGGTATTTTACAAAGACAGGAAATCCCAACATTTAATAATGTCACCAATAGCTAAGCATTGCTAAGACAAGTGGCAATATTTGCTAAAAATGTATGTAAATCACTGGGAATACAGACAAACTAAAAGCATTAATGTCTTTCCTCAGACTCTTCAATAATTTGTTTTGGGGACAAATACATGCTCTGCAGTTTTGAAGATGGCACGAGCCTGCTTCAAAAGATGCTGGGAGAGCCTAGCAAAAAAGGCAGAACTACAGCACACACCAAGCACTCATTTACACTTTAATGACTATAGCTCTTTACCTCTTGAGGACCTCAGTCTGAAATAAAAATTTAAATATAAGAACTCATATGGCACATCAATAACTCCTATTTGTAGTCTGTTAATCAAGTCACAATGCAGCTGTTCATGATTTTATACAAGGCACCACTTGGTTTCAAAAGCAAATCCAAGGCAGAGCTCCGATCAAGCCTGAAGAAGAAACTTTACAAAAACCCAAACACAAAGTACTTTGCAGAAGCAGTTGAGCAAGATAAATTTCTGAATCTGAAGAGAAGTACTGTTTTAATTTGTGTATTATCTGTTTACAAAAGACTATCATAAAGCAATGCATGTTTCCCACTACAATAGCCTACATTTCTTGGAAGGAGTTTTACTAATGCTTCCAGCAATGCAAGATTTAAGGTTCATATAATTTTCTAACTTTCTTTCATCAGTATTTAAGAATTACAGATTAAAATAACCAGGAAATGAGTGATCTTACCTCATACAATACAACCCCATAAGAAAATACATGTTAGTAGCAAAAAGAAAACCCTTCACACTTGCAGAACTTGGGCAAGGTAATAATGCTTACTGACTCTACAGTCAGAGGGTCTAATGTAGCTGCATACTGCTTGAGGTCAAGGATCAAGGGACCTTGTTTCTGTAAGATTTGCTGGCAGAACATCCATTTCTTAACTAACACAGGGAGAGGTGAGAGTTACTTTATTGATAAAAAAAAGAATGCAGAGAAATATGGAAGAAATGTTCAATGGAAAAAACAGCCCAATTCTGTTTTTGTTAAACAAACTGGAAAGAATGTGGGAGCCTAAACAATGTTCTCCTACCCCACTGTGAACAGAACACAGCTGCCACTCTAAAGTCAACTTAAAACAAATATTCTAGATTAATCACTGACCCAGCTAATTTATTATTCCATTTCAGAGCCTTAGTTTTTACGGGTGTCAGCTAAAAACTGTCACATTTTCTGTGTTACCTGGTATAATAAGATATTGCTTCATCTATGAATCTTGTCACTTAGGTTTTCAATGTTCTGCTTTGATGGAGTGATTTTAAATGATAAATATTTAAGAATAGTTTTACACAGAACAATTTCAAAATATATGTAATATAGGAATGAATTTTAGAGTACAGCATTTATAATGGAGCAATTTATTTTTAAGGGAAACTCAGCAGGCAAAGTATTTCAATACTGAACTTAGAGACGTACAGAAATGTCTGTACATTTGTTTGTATGTACAGTTATTTTGTTTATATCTGACTTTTCAGAAGAAGCTGGATTTGAAACACCTAAGAGACATCCTTGGCCATACTCACAAAAGCCTTTAGTAGTTTGGTGTGACATTACAAACGATAACACCCAGTTTAAGACTGAGATAATCTTGCTGAGGACTAGATTTTTTTAATCACTTCTCACTTCTTTGCTTTCCCAGTATCTACAAATGTGTTCCATATGTAATGATTCTCACATTTCAGGCACACAGGTGTATTCAGCAACTATATATAACTAAAAATTACGTAACCAGTGATTTTGAAAGAAGTTTTGATACAGAAGGACCACAGAATATTGCATTTAGTAACCACGAGCAACCTACAGATTTTTCCAACTGTGCAACTTTTACAAACCTTTTTTAACTCAACTGATTTTACTCCTTAACTATTTTAAGATGTGAATCTTATCATAAAAAAAAACCCAACAAAACAACACTGTTCACCCTTTGACCAAATAAAATACAATCCAGAAACAGCCTGAGACACATCAAGTCTATGGAAGTAAGCAAAGTGACAAAATAATTTACACAGGTACTTAAAGGTGAAGACATCACAGTCAGATACAGGAGTAACATACACTAATCCCTGTAATTCTAACAGATACACAGCCCTGCAATTAACGGTGCCATTTTCTGTATATTCTGGGGGAAAACCACCCACACCCAAAAAACTCCACCAAAATCCTCACAGAAGCTATGCAAAACCAATCAGAGTTATTTGTGATGAGACATTGTCAATGACAGGCTACACAGTTCAATGAAGCCTACAAAGACAATGCTTCAAAAGCAGCAGCATGACCTTCAGGCAACCTAACTTCCATAGAAAACATCCAAGTGAAAAGCTGAAATAAAAACACTTCTTGAATGTTAATGTCTTAAGATGGAGACATTAAATACTGTTTCTGATAAAAGTTAAAATCAAGGAGAAAATCTAAGTAAAAGTATTCTCAGATTAATACTAGTGTGAAGACAAATACCAGCTGGAAGAATATATTCTGCTGCTTTTTAAAATTTCTATGGATGCTCTTAAAATTTATCCCATCTTCCAACCTGTTCTAATTCCCTAGCAGTAAATTTAGTCAAGATAAATATAGATTGGGTAACTGCAGATATTAGCGATGAAAAGGCAAAAGAGAAATTAAGTGCACTACTCAGTCCTTTTTTTTTTTTTTAGTTCTTACTGTACTAAAGAACAACTGGTAGTCAAAACAGAGATGCTACTTAAAAACTGCTGAAATTTATTCAGTCATTTTAAATAGCAAGCTATATGCTTAATGGAATGTAAATATTTGAGCCAGTTTAATCAACCAAGTATTGAAAGGAAAAAAAATATTCAAAATGTACAAGTTTTTCCCTCTGCACTGTTCCAAGCCTTTGGAACATATTTCATGGTGTGCGTACAGCAGGAGCTGAGGGCCATTGCTTTTTAGGACCTACACAAGAAGATAACTGAGGACATAATGCAGGCTGGAGTCAGGCTAACAGGTTGACCTTTTCCTTCAAACCTATAGCTCAAAGGAGCATTTAACTGTTACAAATTCATAACCATAAAGCAGCTGAGTGAATGGGCAACAACAGGTTGCTTGGGAATGTTTTTATGTCTGATAAATTTGAATGGTCATGGAGATACTATGGACTTCTGAGCTAAAAAAGTTAATCTCCTCATGCCCCTGAAGTAGGACAAGTCATTTAAACAATTCTTATTTTGACATTTTAAAGAGTGGAAAAGAGAAAACAGCTTGGCTCTGGGCTGGCAGTCATTCATCTGAACTGTGTGTGGGTAGAGGTGGCAGGAGAGGGTCTGGAGCAGCACAACTTATGTAAATTATAACCCGTTTTAAAACCTTCTTTTTTAAAACTTGTTTGTCAGCCAATCTTCAGACAGGAAGGTATTAATACTGCCCATGGTAGAAGGAAACATGCTGTTTGTGCAATGTTAAATTCTAAAGCTAGGTTATTCTTTCTTCTCTATGTCCAAAGTACAGTATTAGAGTCTTCCTTACATGACAAAAACCCCAAATAACCGAAGTACTGCTATCACCTAAGCTCTTCCCCGTTTGTAAGAAAAGTGGAATTTCTCACAGATGCTCTTCCTGCTGCTTCCTCCCACCACTCACTGATGGTACTGATTTTCCTTTTACACTACTGTATTCCATTCCCTTTAGTTGACTATCATTATCCACTGCTAAAACAGTCATATGGCAGGATCTGTGAAAATAAAGTAGTTCCTTAAGTGCACAATATAATTTCATCTACCAATTACTGGAGACCAGTTCCATGAGTCTCAGGTCAATGCAACTTTACTGATCTAATATACTAAATTTATGACTACTTGCAAGAGTACTTAAAAGTACATTTTGTCATTCAGCTGTGACAGTATTTCACATTTGAAAGAACAGTAGTGGCTGTACTTACCCTGGACTTGAGGGAACCTTCCCAGTTTTCATCCACATACCTCTAGGACAGCTCCTGCATAAAGCTGTAACAATAAATAGAAGCTGTTAATGACCAAAAAAAATTATCTAAATTACTAGTTTACTTATGGTGTGTTATCTGTTGGACTATTTTACTTTGAGGAGACAAAATGCTATTGTGCTGATGCTAATTACTAATAAGATCCTAAATAGAATCACAATTCCAGACCTGTCTCTGATTTATGCAACAACTGACTGTTCACTCAAGATACAGGACAATTTTCATTCATTGCAGTACAAATGCAAAAACAAGAATAAAGATCATTTGAGATATGCTGTTGCTGTAAGCAAAGTTTCATTATAAAAATGTTATCAGACATGTTACAATGGGAATTATGGACCAGTAATAGGAAAACCATTTCTTTCTCCCCAAAGATGCTAACAAAGTCTCATTAAGTGAAATTTTAATTTCCATTTTAAACCTAACTGGGACAATGAAATACTGCTTATAATAAAGATAAGGCAGTGACTTTAGACTTCTCATTTGGGATGAATATTAGATGACTGTAGCTAGCTGTGACTGCAGGAGGACAGATCACACTGATGTGCCTTGGCTGAGGTAACACACACAGACTGGGATAACTTCGATGCTTGCGCTTAGCTGTCAATCACTTCTGTCAGCTATGCAAGATACTCAGATTCAGTATAATTAAAATATAAGTCAGTTTCAATTTTATGTTGTATCTAAATTTAAAAATCCTAATTATCTTGTATACTGCAATGTTTTTAAAACTATTTTGGGTTTTTTTGGCAACATGCAATTGATTCTATAGTTTGCTGAATCTTAAACGTAAATTAACAACAGATTTTCCAGCTACCAAAATAGAACTTCATACAGTATAAAGTTAAGCTTTTTAATCTTACACATAGTTGTCAATACTGTCTGTATTACATCCGTCAAAACCCCAGTGTTTAAAGAGAAGCAGACAGAAGTAGCTTCAGTTAAAAATTTTTGATTAGACTCATTACCTTCTATAAACAATTAAGATCTCTGCTTTCATCTTCTTTTAGACAGTGTTTTCATAACAAACGTGCCAGTCAGGATAGGTAAAAATATAACCGTACTGAACTGAAGCAAATTCACATTTCACTTAAAATATGAACTGTGGATACATGTAACGAAAAATAAGCTTTCACTAAGAAATTTAATGAGTCCTAACCCCTCTGAAAAAGCCATAAAAGCAAACCACATGTGATATGACAGAAATATCAAAGACAATTTCATTAACACTTCATTACCTATCTGTGTATGCATTACGGACAGCCAGAAATACATCTTCATTTCAGAATATGAGTATTCCAAATTCAGGTTCAACTAAATATTTTCCTCAATAGTATGAATTAGAACGTAAGAAATACTGTAATCATTTGCAAGGAAATTACAACTTCTCTCTTGGTGTGAACTAATCAGCATCATTATTTCCACGGGAAACTGAACAGAAAATGTTACACTGCATTATCTGTTCAGAACAGCATCTCAGAAATTTGCTTAACTACAGATACATTTTCAACTAGAAATTAGATTTAAGATAAAAAACTAAGATTTGACTATTAAAACCCAGAACTACTATGAAGCAATGCTCAAGAGACCAAAAATACAATTTTTTAAAAGCTGCTTCACCACCCAAATAAAGGTTTTAATTAAAAAAGGCAGTGATAAACAGCTAAGATACTAGCTTGCATAATTAAAGTTCCTCTGGAATTAAAACATGAAGTAATTACAAAGATGGAGAAAACATGGAATAGTGATATTAGAGACTTCACTTACCTTGTCTCTATTTGTTATTCTTTAAGAAATATTCAACAACAATTCTATCAGCAATCCTTGATCTAGATATCAGCTTGCACACTCAATAATCCACTGAACATTTATACTGGTTCTCTGATACTGTTATCTGCATTTTTCTACCAAAGAGGCAGACAAAGGAATAAACAGCCTTCTATCTAGTTAATTAACTCTTTTATGTAACTGTATAAAGAGCTAAGAACACCCATATTTAAGACAATGGTAAAACAAGCATTTTTGAATTCTTATTACTGCAACTAATTCTTACAGTTATTTCCTCCCTTTCAAACAAGAATTTCTATGGAACAAGATCACTGTAGGAATCTAAAATATGTGAGACATTTTATAATTACACACTAGTCCCAATTTGTGAGTCCTGGCCAACATCCGATAGAAGTAAATTTTAACAAAGAAAACAGCTCAATCATTGATATCTAAATTTTGAGCTTGTAATTCAGCTGTAATTGAAGCCCAACTGTGCTGGTACAGAAAGGTTCAGATTCATGCTGGGACAAACCACTGCTCTCTCGATGGTGAGACCAGAATAAAAGAAGAATCAATTGACTTCATTTATAACTCTAAACAGAGGTGTCTTTTGCAAGAAACACAGGTTTATTTGCATCGCTTAGCCCACAACAGAAGCAGACTTGTTAGTATCTACTGCTGCTACCACCTCACTGTGACCAGAGCAGATGTTCTCCAAACTTCCCTGTGAAGGCAGTCACTGTGCTCAAGTAGGACTAAGAATGACATGTATCCACTCAGCATGGAGGCATACAAACATCTCCAGTCAGCTCATTACACAATGCTTAACTCATGAGTTAGTTCATTGTAAAGCAATGCTTCACTTGTTTTACTGCTCATGGAAGTGAGTTTCGTACTACAAGCAATGAAATAAAGACTCACTAAAGTATTACTAGTGTCCATTTTAACATCCAAAACTAGTGCTGTTGTGACTTCCCGGCTGATTCATGTCTGCGTCTATGAAAAGAACTTAGCTTTTTTAAAGCGTTCTAATAGAATGCTAAGGCTATTGTGATAGTATCTGAACTTTTCCCTCATCTTTTCCAAAGCATCAACTTGAGTTCAGTTTCATTCAAAAGCTTTTTGTGAAGCACCTGAACCTCTTGTAACAGTTCATACTGATGAAATCAAGATGGTTCTTCACAACTGAGCGAGGAAAGCCACACTATCAGTCATGTCTACTCTGATGATGAAGGAAAGTGGCAATTATAGCAGAATATCATGACCTACATCAGAACTGTGCTATATAAAAATATGTATTGTAAAAATAATTGTTCCAGTAAATAAAACCAAAGAAACTTAACTCAGGTGAAAGAAAACACTTTCCCTGCTATTAGGAAGGGAATTGAAGTAATTTCTGCAAGACACAATTCTAGTGGCGCCTCATTTATACATAGATACAGCATTGTTATCACAGTAACTCATGGCAAAGACTCCAGAAGAAAAATTACATTCCT